AAATTTATTAAAAAAATCTGGTTGTTTAATTCTTTTTTTTCGTATTGTGTAATATACTGTTTTTAATAACAAAATCATATAAGAGTAGAGTTTTTTAATTATTCTAATACAATTATTTAAAATTCTAATACAAAGTGATATTACAAAGTATATTTGAACAATAGCAGTATTGCATTTACAAATATTTTTATATATTTTAACATCAATTTATGCTTTATACTTTTCTGTTGATACGTTTTTGATTTCATGACATTAACGAAAACGTTCTAAATTTGTATCTACTTTTTCTAATTTTTCTACTTTTTCTAATCGCTTCATAATATTAAATATAAATTATTATCCTTATAATATATTAAAAAGCACACATAATTAATTTTTTATAATTAATAACTTTTTTATAAATTACTTTAGTTGAAAGTCAAAATTCTTAAATATATGTTGTTAATAGTTGTTAGAAATAACAATTATATTTCAACTAGACGTTTGTCCTGAAAATGTATGAAAAATTAAGATTTATATTCATAAGTTTCCTAGATAGTTCAGCTAGTCCATCTTACTTTAAGTGCCGAGTTTGGCTAAACTTTGTTCTATTTAATTTTGTATACAACTTATTTAAAAATATTCTTTTTTCTTCTTATTTTTCTTCTTTAAAGTTTTTATAAAAATAAAAATTTCTTTAAAATATATATTTTATAAAAATACATTCTATAAAAATACTTCTATAAAAATACTCTTTTAATAAATAATGCTTTTTTGAAATATATATTTTTTGGTTATCTGGTTGATATATAACTTTAATTGGTTAATCTTTCTTATAAAAGACTAAGTGATCTTAAAATGACAGATGAATTATCATAAATTTATATTATTAAAGATTAAATAATTATAGCTTTATTAATCATCGATATTATTTATTTAATCGTTTAGCTAATTATATCACTATTATTATTAATATATTTCGTTGTTAATACTTAAAGTAAATATATAGTATAAATATTTTCAATTGATTTTAATAATTGAAAATAAACATTCAACAAAGGCATTCTTTACAACCGTGAATTGGTTTTGTGACAGAACTAGTTTTGCATTTTCTTACAGAAATTTACTGAGTAACATTACAAAACCTACATTATGCCCAATGTACTTTCAAAAGTCCTATCACATTGAAACAAAACTCCATTTTAAGAATCTGTCCTATAGGACCACTAAAGTTATCTCTGACCTACAGAGAGTTGCATTAATTTCCCTGTAGTTATAATTTAAAATACGAAACTATTCATACATTGATTGATACGTCTATGTGCGATATGAAAATAATTAATAAAAAAATTTATTAACAATTTCGTTATTGCAACAAAGGATTTAATATTATTTTATAATGTAAATTATACAAAATATGTATATTTTACCAATTTACCATTCATTATTATGAAATAAAACGTAAAATATTAATTACCACAGAAATTAAATTTAAATATACTATATCAATCATGACAAAAATGTTACTGTGATTCTTTCGTGCAGTTATTTAAAGAAAAATTCTGCGACAGCGTTAAATGTATTTATGTATTTATGTCAAATATATATTTAAGATATACAAATATCGTTCTGCTCTATTATCTCAAAACAATAATAGAAATGTTCACAGTACATTTTCTATTGCGGAAGAAAATGACAAAAAAACAATTGTATATCTAAGAATTCACGAATTTCTTTTTCACGAATATTTATTTGTCAATCGCATAATCATTATTTAAATGAAATTTTTTAATTTTGCTATTGAGTTTTTGCTTTTTGAATTTAATAAAATCAATTTTAAGGATTGTCAAAAAATATTGTGATATTTTTGCATATATTTCGAAGCTTATTTAGTATATAATTATTATTTGAAATTAATGAAATTAATTCTTATAAAGAAGGTGTTCGAGATTGAAGCCAGTTTCAAGACCGCCGATTGTCGGCATCGCCGGCCCTTTCAGATCTCAGAATTCTGTAAACACTTGGACGAGATTTTTTCGTCTATTTGTTATGTTTTGGTTTCAAGTGGCCCGTAATATTTATATGGTCTTCGTGTAATAACATCGCCCGGAAGTCTCTAAAGTTATTACGTCTTATTTTTCTTTCATCGAATTCTCGAAACATCTAGATTTTTCTTTCTGCCCTCATGTAAGGGCAGCAACGAAGATAGTTTATTGCCAGCTAAGTGAGCCGCCGCGTGGATATATAAGGCAAGCACGCGGCGCGCCTCTCTTTCTCTCTCACTCTCGCTGACCGGTCTTCTTGCTGACCGACCCTCTTGCTAACCACCCTTGCTCAACTGCGCTTGCGGCTAACATCTTGCCGATGTGACCCGACCGCAGTGAACCGACTATTGTGAACCGATCTAACCATCTACCAGTAGAATCCATGGTACACGAGTCTCGATCTGCCCTCAGCAGGACCACCATGGAACGGTCGGTATTTTCATAAATTCGGCAGCCTAGTAAATAATATACGTGTGCATTATTAAAAGGAAATCGGCAGATTTAGTAGTGATTTACAATGAAGCCAATTGGAATAGTAATCAAAGGGAACATCAATTACGCAGCAACTAACACACCTTATCTGCTGCTCACAAGGTACATTTTTATATTGATAAATAAGCTAGTCACACCTCGCACAAGAATAGATCGGGTCTCTCTCGAACCAACTCTTCGACCCCGTACAGGCCCATAAGAGTCGACTCAAGTGACGCAAATCGTCAAGCACATTGTGAAGGCCAGACAACAATATATTGAATAATCGACTATTAATACATTACATTAAGTCCTTCAAGAGCACGAAGACTTGTCATTAATTACTCTTGTGTGTGACTAGTCTTTCTACTACCCCCATAAATAATTAAAGATGCAATTGATTACTCAACAAGTTCCATTAAACATCTTACATTATATCAAGTATAGTTATTCCATATATCAAACATACTCGATTCAAACACCATCTTCTCATGCTACCTCATGAGCATGATTGACTGACTACATCAGGTGATACTACATCAGCATAACCTCAACTTCAAGATACACAGTCATATCCATAGAATCTACGATAATCAAGACTACAAGGACACACCCTCATTACTTTAATAGAATAATCTTCTTTCTCCACAACATTGCAATATTATTATAATTATTAACAAATAATAAACATTGTTTTACTGAATACATCATTTTTTTAAATTTAATCAGCTGATACTTACAACATCAGCATTACCTCAACTTCAAGATATACAAAGATTAAATATTAATTAATTAATAATATATAAGTATGGATAAATTATATAAATATATATATATATATATATATATGTTGTTATAAGATTATAAAGTATAAATACAAGTGTCATGCTAGTTTATAAAAATATAATTAATTTGTAACTTTTACAAATGTCTGATATTTTGTTTATACTAAAGTACCAACTAATTGGAATTGATAATTTAAATATTATGTTGCTAAATATTGAAAATGCGAACAAAATATACGGTACGTAATACTTGTAATAATTATTCAAATATATCTTTTTATATTACATATAATTACGGTATAATACCTATATAATATACTATTTTATTTAAGATAATATACAAGAACAATAATATAATAGAGTAAAGATTGCGTTAAAAAAATTAATTTGAAGGAATTTAAAACAACTTATTGAACAAAATTCAATTAATATTTTATTTACAGAAATTTTTATTTTTTAATTAATAAACAATTATACTATTAATTTAGTTTAATTTAAAGTTCAATAATATATTCAGTTTTTTTAAATACCAGTTTAACTTTTAATTTAAATAAATTTCAAAAGAGTATCATGATAATATTTATATTACTCAGTTATGTAACTTTAGAAATATTAATAAAACCTATTTTGTAATAAATCTACAATATAATGAATTTTGAAAATTATTTAATATAATATTGACAAAAATTTTAAAGATTGTTTTTTACAATATATATATATATATATATATGTGTGTGTGTGTGTGTTTAAATAGTAACATTTGAAATTATATTTTGAAATGTATTAATATAAACATTTAAATTCAAAATATTCAAAATTCATCGATATAACTTTATAAATTTATGTTAGAGTATTAAAATGCATCTTCATTTAATGGTTTCACTTTGTTCGTCTGTTTATAGCATAATTTTATATATCGTTCCGAATACCATTTGGACTATCATAAAAATAAAATCGAAAATGAAATAAAATATGCTATCTACAATTGCACAAACTTTTGTATTGTCTCTTATTTTCAATTTTCGTTTTAATTGTATTTGTGTTTATATACCAATTATTTTTGTGTTTTCCACTAATTTCAATGCTTTACAAATATTAAATGAGAAATATATTAATCTATAAGTTTAATATTCATTCTTCTGCTTACATATTATTAAAAGAAATACACACTTGACTATTAAATGTTTGAATTTTTATTAATAATATTTTCAAAAATTTTTTTAAAATATTCGTTTTCTATGCTAACAAATTAGAACAGTTTTCATAACTTTTTTTATTTTTTACGATAATAAGTTTTTAGACTTTTTTATGGAGCTTATCTACATAATAATATTTTATTTGTTTGCGATTTTTTCAAATCAATCAAATCTTTGATCGAATCAAAGCAAAACATTAAACATTATAAAAAAAATATTTTCAATTTATAAAATAATAGATCATAATATATGATCATAATATCGAAGAAAGTTTCTGATTTACAGATTATTAAATACAAATATTTTTCCTACTTGATAATAAGACGTATACATCGAAGTATATATTTATATTACTAATCAGGTTATAAGCTTCATTGACCAAATTCTGTATGTTTTACATTAATGAGAAAATGTATATTATTGGTATTTATTTGTATAATTAAAATTTACAAATTTAAAAATTCAAATTTAATTTTTTGATTTGCAAAGAATGATTATTAGATTATTAGTAAATGTCTACTTACCAATTTAAGCCAAGCATTCGTTGTTAGTATCTGATTCTTCTCATCCTACAAAGAGAATCATAATGCATATTTATTTTATAATTGAATTATTTCATAAACATTAAAATTTGTTACATAATTTCATTAAATTATAATATACAATTTTTCTCTTTTTTATTCAATTGTATTTAAAAAAATTGCACTGGAAACTAATCTGATGCAATAAGTGAGATAAATAACTAGAAATAACTATTTAATATGAACTAGTGGGCTATCTTAAGTAGCTCTGTTTCTTTTTTTTTTAGACTAATATTGACAATATTGGTATATTGGTAATCTTATGAGTTATGTAATCGAGATATGTTGTCATTTTACACATTCCTAGTTCATACACCAAATTCTTATTATTATTTTTAGTTATATATATGTGTGCATGTGTGTGTGTGCGCGCGTGTGAAGGATTGGACAGTTATAATAATAATTTAATTAAAACGAATCAGTCAAACTTCGATGATGAATACCGAAATTTCATTGCATTCGCCAGTTATTTGGTATAAACATCTACCGTTAGATCATTTTTGAACCATATCAGTCATAATTTAATCTAAAACTTTGTCTTGCCCATGAATGTAAGTGAATATCAAATTAAGGTTGTCTTGTTGAAAACTAGATATATCTCAATGACTTTTACAGTGAAAATTCATGTAATGATATGTCAAATTTTCGTATTAATGCCAGACTGGAGAATTGTGACTTTGTTTAAATGTTATCACTTGTCGAATAAGTTGAATAATTTAGGGAATACATTTTTACGCATCGTTTATGTAAAGTAAAAATTAAGATATTTTAAGTCATTGTATAGCTCTGCAGTCACTACTGTTACATTAATAAATCAATATACTTATAATTTAATCGATGAAAGAATACTGTTATGTGTACAGTACCACGTATTGAAATTATTATGATAATTTTACGACTCTCATCGGAAATAATAAATACTGTGTTATTAGAAAATTCTAGTTCCTTATATCAATTTCGCACTAGGTTTATAAGTTTTAGACTTGCTTATAACATCAATTGATTGTATGGGATCTGCATTCATAGCTCCATTCTTTATAACAATGATGACCAGGTAACAACAAAAATTCTATTTAGTATGCAAACCAATTGTTTAACAATAGTTTTGTTTTTCTTTAAATTTTTAGTACATTTATATTGTACATGTAATTTATAGGAATATTACATTATTTGAAGTAATATTTTCTACTACTTAAATTAATCTCTTTTAAAAGTTACTAAAAAAATAGTATCAATTTCCCAGTTCATAGATCCAATCAAGTAATATTTTCTTTACTTTAAACAATTCATTATATTTACATATTTTTATTTTATTTATATTAAATTAATTTTATTAGCCTAACATTATTATTTATATATCCAATATAAATATTATAAACAATCTAAATAAAATTTTATGCCTTTCTACTTATAATATCATCGTATAGCTTAATTGTGGAAAAGTGATTGAATTATAAATACAATTTGGAGAATGATATTTTTCATTTGAGTAAAACTATATAAATTTTTATTTTTTCAGTATTTTTCGTTTGGCATATTCTATCATATCATCTATATATCATATAAAATTATCATATTACTAATCATTTTAGTTTTACCCTTACATTATAAACAATAGATATTGTAATTGAAATCATATTTATAAGTATCATTAATTTTAGGTTAATATACATTTAGTATTTATATTGAAGTCGAACTTTTTTAACTACAATGATAAATACCTTTGCATATGTTAAAATTAGTAAGTAAAATGTATAAAATAATGCGTTTATTGCGCAAGAATTAAGAATAATTTCTAAATTATACGTTAAACAATTTATATATTATATACAACTTCGTAAATTGTATAATCAACAAACTGCATTGTCTAAATTCTTACTGTACAAATTATAAAATAAATTATTAAATATATATTAACATATTTCCGAATCGTTGAAAAATTAAGGTATATATATTCTATTTCGTTATTTAAGAAACAGAAAAGCTCTTCACATCGATTAAATGATTATTATCTAATATCAAATTAATAAAGGTACATCAATAATTCTCAATGATTTCGATAAATTTATATCTCATATACAGAGTATTTTAATATTATATGTACACTATACATTATTCATAAGACAGGTTATAGTAGCTTAGTGTTTAAAATATAGATATATTTAAACATTTATAGTTAATTAAGAGGAGGTAAATATATTCTTAACGATTTGTAATTGAAAAAATTTCATTATAACTTATCTTCCATAAAATTTTACACATAAGCAAATATATACACAAAAATGATAAAAATATCAATTTATATTTAGTTGAAATGAAATTATAAGCAACATTTGTTAATGCTTAATTTTTTTTTTGTTAATTTAGTAAAATCATAAATTACAATAATTAAATTATTTTATACGTGATCTAAGAGTGAATTATTTTTGAAATATAAAATTTCTTCTTTTAAATAGTATTTGAATGCAAAATGCAGCACTGCAAAGGCCACGATGTTATATGCATATCTTTGTATTTCTGCTTTACACAATATATGTATATAGCGGATATAATAGGAGCTGAATTAATGAAAATAATAGACTTTTCAAATTTTGTTAAAATTTCGGTTTTACATAAAATATTACACGTAAAAATCATGTCAAAAAATTTAATAATTTTATGAATTTTTCGCATATCTTTCTTCTTCCATTTTCTTCATAAAGCTATAAACAGATAAAATATTCTTACGTATCTGATATTGCTATTCAATGGAAAATTAATTTTTTTACTAAAAAAAGTTTAATGTCTTTTTTATAATTTCAAAAGGTTCATTCAAATGTCTTTAAAGAATAAGAATCCTACAAGGCTTATGTTTAAATTATGTTCGAATTTTCGATATCAAATTTAAACGTATATTCGAGTACATAAAATGTTAATGCAAATAAAATCAGATGTTTAAAAATTTATGCATCATGAAGATTATACTTAATTATATAATATTATTGATTAGTATTTTTCATTTTAAAATATATTTTACAACGTATGTCGTAATGAAATTTAGAATAAATAATAATATATACATTAATATATAAATAATATATATACTTTTAATATTTACAAATATAATATACATAATATACAAATATAACTGTAAAAAGCACGCAATTTACAAACATCTGTACATTTTTATTTTTTAATCGTTCTCAAAAAATCATAAAAACTTGTTCGAGATTCAAAGAATCTCTCAAATGTTATCATATGGGGAAAAATTCCAACGACTATCATTTCATGGAAATTATTCAATGGTCATAACTTTTAAGAAAATTTTCCAACGGTCGTTGCAGGTTCGGAAAAGTCGGTACTTTTGAAATTTTTAAATAATATACGTGCACAATCACTTCCATTGTTCTTCGCATCACAGTCGCACTCATTGTTTCTATCGCAATGATCGGCCCTTTGTTGTCAGTTAACAAAGATGCCGCACGGCTATTTAGGACAAGCGCACCACGAGGCGCATTAGTAGACTTTCAGTCATTGATACAGTCAGTTATGCCATTCGCCCAGGAAGACTAGACGATCAAGAAACCTACTCACTACGATAGAAGGAAGACACAACAATTCTCAACATGTTGATCCTATCTCCTTCATATCAAGAAAACGTCAGACGACACAAGCCATACTCCCTGATCCGAAGCATGCAAAATCAGTAACAATTTATCACCATTAACAAGGAGCATTCGGAATGATGCACTACTCATTACAGGGCCAGGTCAAGGCTACTTCATCACTGTGAGTAAACAAAGTCTGTGCTTCATTACTACCAGTCTTTACAAAACTAGCACGATACTATTATTAATAGCATAAATCACACTCTCTATTAAGGTGTGTACACAATCAGTAGCTGATCATTACAAAATCAACAACAAATCATCATCATCAATGAGTATCTCGAGCAGACAACTTATTCAACACAAGATCAGTTCGAAGCAACTGCAAGAACGTGACTGAATACAGTGTATTCCTTTCCATTATATATATATATATATATAAATCCAATCAAAGAATACCGTAATTGTAAATAAACCATATTTTCGAAGAAGCACATACTGTATTTCTAGAGACCTTCAACTTAACTACATCCCAGGCACCCGCTTGGGCGGGCGGTAAATAAAAGCATCGAAACATTGGCAGTTCGAGCCAGGAAATAAAACAGTTTCTAATAAAGCTCTACAGTATCATTGGATATTCATACTACATAACGTAAAAAAGAAAATTCTTTAATAATTTTAAATATATTAATTTGATATTAATTTTATTTAAATTTTGGTAACTCTGTAATTTTTGTAACAATTCATATATGTCTTCTATATTGCTCAGAAAAATAAAATTTTAGGCTATACTTGTTTACAATTAAATTTTTAGGCTATAATTGTTGACACTTATAATGATTACATTCAATAAATTTCAATAAACTTCACTGTAAATTTGTTTTGAACTAGTCTCCGAAATCGCTTATTCAAAATAGAAATACACGGTTTTTTATTGGAATTTTCTTCTACTTTCCATGAAAATTGTTACTTGAAAAATGTCTCGCGATTTTATATCTAGAGCAGAAAATTTTCAATTTAAAATGTGAAAATCCTATCAATATATTTTTATTAAACGAATCATATAATATATCAACACATATTTTAAAATATTCTGTAATTTATTAATTTAATTGATTCACATTTTAAATATATTAATAAGAATTATATTTCATGCCTGAAATCGTTATAAATATTATATAAACGAAATAATACATTTTATATTATTATAAAGAAAATGATTTTGAAGTAATATACATTAAAATTATTATTTTATAAATAGTTAAATATCGAAAAATTGGTTTAAGAAAATTAAACGTTTTATCATGTCTATTATAATGAATTTATATAATAGAAATGAAAAATAAAAGAATTATATTTATTTAATGCGACACTACTTTTATTATTTTCTATAAGAGGTAT